GGGGCTCGGCACCTCATAAGTCATGTTGGCATCTCGGATCCGCTGCACATAATGGGCGGAACGTCTGCCTCGAAGAACTATGAAGCATTCCGTTTTGCCTGGCTTCCAGCTGATCTGAAAACCGAAGTTCCTAAACGCGCGGACTAGGCACTGGAGCATCTTAGCACTGGCCTGCCACAAAACCTGGGCGGAATAGGCGGCAAGAAAAAGGCATTCGTCATCGACGTGCGTGACTTCAAAAACTGTCTGGCTGGACGCCGAAGTAGCCCACTCAACGTCCGAGCCGGACGCGGCCCAAAAGGGAGCACCATCACGCGCCCGAACCTTCAACGCGATGCCTAGCGCGAGCAACTCCTGGCGTTGAATATGAAGAGCTAAACTGTAGATCATGTTGAAGACCAAGGCGCCGGGCTTGCAGCCTTGCCGGCCGCCTGCCACGTCGACAATGTAATTCGGACCATCGGGCAAGCGAAACCAAGCCCCGTGATGGAGAGAGGCCACCAGCTCGGCGACCACAGGGTCCGCCCCACCTGCGGCGAGGAGGCCGCCTGTGCTGTCGATCCAGTCGACTAGCTGCTGCGACGTATCTGGCGGGACCCCTGGCTTCTCGGGGAAATTGCGCTTCTCGGCGCTCGTGGCGGCCCCGAGCGGCGGCATCCAGCCCATGACGACCTCTCTCATGGCGTAGTCAAAGGCCTTGGAGAGGTCCAGCAGCAATATGAAGCAGCTCCATCCAAGGATCGTGCACATGTCCATGAAGGAGCGCACGTCCAGGAAGGCCATTGCGGTGCCGCGGTGCTTTACAGCACCATACTGGGAGGAGCCAACGGTCTTAGTATAAAGATCGTTCAACTCGTTTTTTCAAGAGCGCCGTGACAATCTTGCTCAAGTGGTCGGAGGCGAGGATGCCGCGGTAGTTGTCGGGGTCGTTTGGGGCGCCCTTGCCTTTGTAGACCACCGCCAGTTTGCCTCCCCTCCAAACGATCGGGATACACTTGATATGGATGATGTCGTCGATTACCTCTTTGAGCAAAGAGGCGGCTTCCCATCCACCAGCCTTGAGGATCAGGGCTGCTACGCCGTCCTCGCCGAGACCAGAGTGGCCGTTCAGTGACATGATGACGTCGAAAACCTGCTGGACCGAGGGTTGGAAGCTGCTTTGCCGAAGCTGGGCGGATACGTCGGCCTCCCCGGGGCGGGCATCGGGAGCGATTTCGCCAAGGGACTCCGCGGTGCGGGCCTTGAAGAGCACAGTAAAGTGGCGACGCCAACGTGCGATGACCTCGGCGGAGGTCTCGAGGGTTGCTCCTGACTCGACCTTGACAACGCTCAGTAGCTGGGACGGGGTCCCGGCCAGGCGACGGACGATGTCGTACAGCTTCTTGGTATCGTTCTTGTCCGCGGCGTGCTGCGCTCGGTCGGCGGCGTCGATCAGCGCGCGCCGCTTGTCTCTGAGCACGATCACCTGGTGGAGCTGGTGCAGCGAGATAACAAGTTGCCACTCGAGTCGAATGGCCAATCGGGCATAGATGTCCCAAGCGTGATCCGCCATGACCAACGAGATGTGCTTGCCTCCCGCCACTGTCCAGAGGCGGAAACCGAAGCTCAGCAACGCAGTGCGGCGGGCACGCACTGCGTTGCCGCAATAATCCACGAAGAGCATGTGAATGCTGGACCAGGGTCCAGGTCGCACTGCTGAGCCAGGACTTGCGCGGGGCACGAGGGCGAGGCTCAAAGGCCTGCGCCGCCGCCCATTGCAGGTACTTGACCATGTCCGAGACTTGCTTGTTCAGCAGTGCGCACTGGCCCTGTGGAGGAGACTTCTGGGCAGGAGTCCAATCGAACTCGCCGATCAGCAATCTGAAATACTCGCGCCAGGCAGGGTCATGGACGGACACATCAGTGTACCTCGGCGGCGGTGGCGCCCGAGCCCGCTCAAGTTCAGTTGGCTTGTTACGGGCCGCCGGTTCGTTCTCGAAGAACGCGAGGAGGCCCGAGAAGCTACAACCGAGGACACAGTGGTCGTCCCGGACTTGGGTGGCGAGGTCGATGTAGGGTTCCACGGAACAGTCTACGACGAGATCGTGGAAGCTCGGAGGCACGAGGATGTAATCAATGCGAGAAGCGGTGTGCTTGGAGCTGGTCCAAGTGAAGCCGACCTCAAAGAAGGTGTTGACTGCCTTCAGCTGCGTCTCGGTGGTCAGCGGCCTACGGGCTGTCCCATTCGCGGTCTCGTCGTCGGCCTCGGCGGGGCCGACGAATGATGTCTGAAACTGGCCCACGCGCGCGTTCGCGTCGATGTCAACTATCACCAAATTGGTAGGGTCCTTGGCCAGAGCGCCAAGCTCCAGGAGAAGGGACTGCCAGAAATCCGCCTTGATGTCACTGGGAGAACCCTTAATGGGCGAATGCGCAGACACAACCTGGAGGCGGAAGATTCCGATCTGCATCGTGACTCGAAGTAGGCGCGGGGGGAGCACCTTCACCACCGTGACGAGGTACCTGAGCTCATGGCGGACCCAAACTTGCGAGCCGTACTGACCAGAGACGGCGGCTCAGGCGCGGTACATGGTGAAGTGAGGACTGTGGTGCAGGCCGTCGCTTCGGACACGACCTTCTTGGATGCAGACGATGTGCATGCCAGCCCGCCAGAACAGGCCGTCCAGCAGTAACGTGCGGGATGTCGAACCACAGGCCTGCTCAGTGCAAGACTCGTTAAGCTCACGGGGATTCAGCGTGCGGCCGCTGGCAGCGCAAAACTCCAGCGAGTCGAGCATCTCCAACGCGGGGGGTGTAGACGATGAGGAGAGAGAGGAGGCAGGAAACGTAGTATTAGCAGAGCGGCGGCCCTGCGGTGGCCCACCCATGGGCCGAAGTGCACCACGATCACGGCGCTGGAGTTCACCGCGGAGAGGGTGCGCATGCCTCCCTGGTCTGAATTCGGCTGCCGCCGCCGAGAGGACTAGGTCCCCCCTACTGCACCCATGCTGGCAGGAGGGGCCGTGGTAAATTCCAAAAGGCGTGGCATGCGTAGCAGCATTCGCCATCATGAGTGCTTGAAGGTGGTCGCGAGCTCCTGGCACAACACTGGCCCCGGTCAGGCGATCTGGCAGCAGCTGCTGGTCCCGTTCCCTCCATGGCCACTGGCGCAGGCGCCGCGGCTGACTTCGAGGCGATCTGGGTGAGGTTCTGGAACAACGCCGACTTCTGCTGCATCGAGGTCGCAATGTCGGAGCCGTCGACCGCTCCGGAGATATTCATCTCATTGATCACGGCTTCCACCTCGGTCTGCAGGCGGACCAGGCAAACGAACGAGGACTGCTTGGCCGCGTGGGCCGCCACGACCGCCGGGAGCTCCCGGAAGTCGTGTTCGAGCGTGCCGATCTGCTGCGTCGCGGCCTCTTTTGCCCACTGGGCGGCCGTAAGTGCAGCGTCGGCGGTGGCGAGGCGCTGGCGGGCCCGCTCCAAGGCCGCCTTACAAGAGTCGATGCGCAACCCGATGGGCTTGGCGTGGTCGACGCTGCTCTTCACCTCGGTGATCTGCTTGATCAGGGCCGCGCGAGCTGTCGCAGAGCGCGGCTGTCGCAAAGCAAGAGAGGGCCCGAATCTATCCATATCTGCCGCCTGTGGCGGTCCGCGAGGATCGATCCCCCAGGCGGTGGATATGGATAAATCCCCGCCTCGAACTGAGATCCTGGCGCTGGATTTTTTCACAACCAGCGTTCTCGTTCCACTTCGGGGCAATAGCCTTCGGCGGCGAGCGAGGGAGGGAAGCGACGAGGAGCGCCGTCTCAGAAGGCGGCGGGGCTTCTCAGAACCCCTCCGCCCTTCTGCGATCGGGGAAGGCTCCGGAAACTTCCCAGAAGGCCAGAGGCAATCATTCGAAGGGGGGGTGAGCGAGGGAGGGAAGCGAGAGAAGGAGGAGCGCCGTCTCGGAAGGCGGCGGGGCTTCTCGGAAGCCCTCCAGCCTTCTGCGAAATTTTCTGTCTTCGGGGGAAGGTTCAGGGAACTTCTCAGATGCGCTAGCGAGGGAGGCCCCAGGAGGTCCCTCCCGAGGCAACCATCGCGCTACCAGGTGGAGCGCACCCAGACATGATCGCGCCGTGAAACAAACAATCCGGGCGGGAGGTCTTTGGCCGTGTGCGGGATCCCTCCCCGGGCCTCAGGGCAGTCAAACAACGACTCAGGATGAAGAGCCGGTCCCGGGGCAGAGGTCGGCACTTCCAGGAGCCCCGTACCGAAAAAAGCAGGGCGCCGCGAGTCTGGGCAACAATGGCCCTTTGTGTGCTCTCGTTCGTTTCTCCTCCGTCGCGTAGTTCTCGCCACCGTTGTGGTACCTCTCCGCCCGTCCTGCTGGTTTGGCCTGTCGCCTGACTACCTTGACGGCGCGCAACTGCCTGCGTCGCTCGCGGTCAAGAACGTCTCGGCGACAGTCCGGCCCGTCCCGGGCCCGTCTGGCCACGGCGAGCGCCGGCCACGAACAAGCTCCCCGACCTGGGTCTATAAAATCTGTAGAGAAGGGCCCGGGAGCCAGAGCCGGTGCTCCGGGATCGAAGGAGGGGTCTAAGATCCAAGGAAGGGCCCGGATCTAAGATCTAAGGAAGGGCCCGGGATCTAAGATCTAAGGAAGGGCCCGAGATCTAAGGAAGGGCCTGGGATCTAAGGAAGGGTCTAAGATCCAGAAGTGGTCCTTACGGAAGCGTCCCGATTGCCCTGGAGGTGCCTGGAGAGCCCTCGGATGCCGAAGTCCAGAGATTCAGGTCCCCGATCCGACCCCGTGACGTGTTGGCATCGCGGTTCTCCAGAGATCAGGACCATTGCCCCAGGACCGTATGTTTCACGACGACATGGGAGCCATATGAGCAATCACTACACTGTGATATAGTCCTGCTGATGGACATCACCACGGGTGGGCTGGTCGGCCACCCCGTGCGAGACTGACGCCCCGCACGACGCGGCTTTCGAGCCCGGGACAAGCTTTTCAGAAGTGTTTTGACGGTCCCGGGCCTGGCGAGGGCCCCCGGAAGCCGAAAATATAGCCCTAAACCTGCCGCCGTGATGTTTTCACCGCGGGAGGAAGAGGGTCCTGGAAGCTTGCCGGCGAGGGAGGGGAAGCGCGCGCCACTCGGAGTCGCAGGGCGCGCCACTACGAGGATCAGCTCATGAAGTCCACCCCGCCGCGGACCGCCCCGGTCACGTCCTTGGAGAAACAGACAGCGGCATGGACGTCAACGTTCGGAGATCCGCGCGCAGATCTCAGATCGGCGCGCCACAGGGGAGAGGGTAAGTTAGCCAGCGGGGCCTGGGCAATGCAAGGACAGACCCCCGACGTCATGACTTGTTTCGTAACGTCGACCTTCGAGGTCTGGACCCCTTCCCTGGGACCGGTTTCTCATCCTGAGTCGTTTTTGTTGACGGTCCCGAGGCCTGGCTGGGGCCCCTCGAAACCGAAAATGGCGAAAAACCTCCCGTCATGATTTTTTCATTGCCCGAGGGGGTCGGGAAAGGGGATGTAGGTCGGGTCAACGATGCTCAGCGCTGCCGTCCTCCCGCCCTGAGACTTCCCCAGGCAGGGTCAGTCCCCGCTTAGCCTGGATGGGAACGGCACGGGCCCCCACCACAGGGCGGGCCAGTGCCGAGTCGACGACGACGACGACGACGACGACGACGACGACGACGACGACGACGACGACGACGACGACGACGACGAAAACGACGACGACGACGAATTGGCGACGACGGCGACGAGTCGGCTCTAATCCTGCTCCTGCTCCTGCTCCTCCTTCCCCCTCCTGCTCATCCTCTTCCTCGTCCTCTTCCTCCTCCTCCTCCTCCTCCTCCTCCAACTCCTCCTCCTCCAACTCCTCCTCCTCCTCCTCCTCCTCCTCCTCCTCCTCCTCCTCCTGCCCCTTCTGATCCTCCTCCTCCACCTCCTCCTCATCCTCCTGCCCCCGCTCCTCCTCCTCCCCCTCCTCCTCTTCCTCCTCCTCCTCCTGATCCTCCTCCTCCTCCTCCTCCTCAAACTCCTCCTCCTCCAACTCCTCCTCCTCCTCCTCCCCTCCTCCTCCTCCTCCTCCTCCTGCTCCTCCTCCTCCTCCTCCTCCTCCCTCCTCCTTCCTCCTAACCTCCTAACCTCCTAACCTCCTAACTCCTAACCTAACCTCCTCCCTCCTCCTCCTCCTCCTCCTCCTCCTCCTCCTCCTCCTCCTCCTCCTCCTCCCCCTCCTCCTCCTCCTCCTCCTCCTCCTCCTCCTCTCCTCTAAGCGTCGGCCAGCGGGCCGGGACCTTGCCATGCCTCCTCCTCCTCCCTCCTCCTCCTCTCCTCCTCCTCCTCCTCCTCCTCCTCCTCCTCCTCCTCCTCCTCCTCCTCTCCTCCTCCTCCTCCTCCTCCTCCTCCGCCTCCTCCTGCCCCTCCTCCTCCTGCCCCTTCTCATCCTCCTCCTCCACCTCTTCCTCATCCAACTCCTGTTCCTCCTCCTCCTCCTCCTGATCCTCCTACTCCTCCTCCTCCTCCTCCTCCTCCTCCTCCTCCTCCTCCTGGCTCGTAGCATGAGGCGCCACGAGTTCGATGATCCGCTACCAGCCCTCGCTGGTACTCTACCCGCCTCGCCGAAGTGCAGCACGGACCTGTGGTACCGCAGCCTGGATTACATGCTGCGGGATCGGTGCTGGGATCTTTATTAATGTGGTATACAACAAATGAGCGACAAGCAAAAATGAGAAATGAGAGGGAGCAGGATGGCGAAGGCCCAGACGGTCAAGCAGATCAGCGGGGATGGGAGAGTTGAGAATGACAGCAGCCCAATCGAGCACACGGTCGCAACAAAGATAGTGTGGGACATGGTCTCTGCCGCTGGAGCATCCGAAACGGCATATCTTCGCATCTTGGAACTTGGCCGAAGTGGTCCACCCTCCGACGAGGGTCTTGATTACACTGGAACTATGATTCGGAGGAAGTTGCCGGCATGCCTCCCGCACTCGATCCCAATTCAGTTGATCTATCTCTGCGGTCAGAGCTGGGAACCAGGTCTTTAGCCGCGAGCTTAAAGTGTGAGCAACCTCATTCGGAAACAATCCAGACTCAAGGGCAGCCGCCAGCGTTCTTTGAAGCTTCGGGCGAGGTCCAGCGGTGGGAGACGGATCAGACAGAGCCTGGAGGACGGGGCGGGCCGCCGAAAGCGCCAGAGAACCGATCGGGGCCAAGGAGGGAGAGGAGGGGAAACCGAGACTCGCTTCTCTGAGGTGCTCAACAATGCTGCAGTCCGCCCAGAATGGCGGGGACCAGGGACCAATGAGCGCGAATCTGTAGGCTCTCTGGTTCACCGTGGCTCGCTCCAGCAGTTGATAAAAGGTCTCCCAACCTCGGAAAGTCCATAGGGCAGCTCTCATTCGCGCGGCTAAATTCTGAACAAGGCCGCTTCGGAATCTGGGTGCGCCCCAAACGTGAATGTTGAAATAGTCTGATCTCGACATCGTGCAGTGGGGTATCCTCCTCCTCCTCCTCCTCCTCCTCCTCCTCCTCCTCCTCCTCCTCCTCCTCTCCTCTAAGCGTCGGCCAGCGGGGCCGGGGCCGTGCCATGCCAATGGGGCTGGGGATCGGGTAGACGACACCCCCCCGCTGGGCGCGCGGCGCGCGCCGGGGGCGGCGCCGGAAGCGCCGCCTGGGGCCCAGACCCCCTCGCGTTGCAAAACAATCGCGACGGGAGTTTTTGTCACTGTTTTCGGCCTTCGGGGGCCCTTACCGGGGTTGACATCTCAAAACGGCTCGGGGTGAAAAAACGGTCCCGGATAAGGGGTCCAAACCTCTGGACGACGTTGTGAAAAATTTACGACGTCGGGGGTCTGGAGGAGGGGGCAGCGCTGATCCGAACAATCCGCGCGGACCTCCAGGACATGTATGTTCATGCCGCGTGCTATCTTTTCGGCTGCACGTCAGAGTGGCCCTAGGCAAGAGTGACCCCTGGTGCGCGGCTTCAGGTGGGGCGCGGGGGTCCCAAACTCCAAGCGCGCAAAAGCCGTTGTTGCCGCACATACTTCTCGGCGATCGAGGGGGGACGCCAGCGAGCCCGCACCAAAAAGGCCACTCTGGAGAAGAGTCACTCTTGCGTGTGGTCGATTCTTCGAGTCCTCCCGCCGCTTGAAGTACTGGTCCTCCCAGAGGGGCTGCTCGTCGTAGGGGCGCCTCGCAGAAAGGCGTGCGAAGGAGGCCTCGTCGTCGCTGCCGTGGACGACGGCCGCTGCCGTCCGCCCACCGCCGTCGCCCTCGCCGTGGCCGACGGCCGACGCCGCCGATGTCGCCGTCAGCGCCGTCGCCGCCGGCGTCGTCGTTGTCGGTGATGCTTGCCCCCTGGCCGCGGTGGCTGCCTGACTGAGACCGTGGAAGGCCCTCGCCCAGCTACGCGCACGAGTGACCACAGGCAAGAGTGCCCTGTCGTGCGCGGGCTGCGGGGGCGCGCCGTGGCCCAATCCAAGCGCGCAGGCAGCTGCCGTCGCATCGCGCTCAGCGATCGGAGGGTCACTCTTGCGCGCAGCCAGCTCGCCGCCTTGGTCGCTCGTCGCCTCGCCCGCGCCCGCCCTTCGGGCGCCTGCGGCGGACGAGTCGCAGGAAGTGGGCGACGATAGGGGAGGGCGACGAGGCGAACTAGTGTTCGAGATGTTGTCGATGGTTCGTTCTAGCCTATGTCTGACGAGGCCACGACCCTGTCTTCTGAGAAATTGCCGAAACCTTCCCCCGAAACGCAGAAAACTTCTCAGATGACGCGAGAGTTTCTGAGAAGCCCCGCTGCCTTCTGAGACGGCCTTCTCCTTCTCACTCCCCCCGCTCGCTCGCCGCCGACCCAATACTGTGCAAGACCACCGCCATGCGTAGCAGAGTGTGCACGGGACAAGTTGATGCCAGCGGAGGGCGATGCGTTTTCATCTGGAAACTAAATCGGCGCCAGGGTCGAGAGAGACGGAGAAGAGGCGCGAGAGGCGGAGGGGAGGAACGGAAGGATAGATGGGTAAATCGGTGGATGAAGCACGTCAGCGGCAAAAGGTGCCTTGGGAAAGGCGCGAGGGACGCCAGCAACGCCTGGGGATCCTTGCCTCCGTCGCCGCCTCTTCCAGCCCGCGGCGCAAGGGCGCCGAGGCGGAGGCAGCCTTGAGACCCAGGCCCCCTCGCGTTGCGAAAAATCACGACGGGGAAGCTTTTCGCTATATTTTCAGCCTCCGGGGGCCCTTACCGAGCCTCGGGAACGTAAAAAAACGACTCGGAAAGAAAAACCAGTCCCCGAGCACGGGTCCAGACCTCTGGGCCCAGACCCCCGAACAGAAACGACCCGGGTCGAGAAACCGGCCACGGCGGATGGGTCGAGACCTCTGTGGGGGTCGACGCCGTGACAAGAGCAGGACGTCGCGGGTCTGGGCATAGTCCGTGCCCGGAGCACGTCGCCACGGTGCAGGCGCGGTCCCAGACATGTTTTGTTTGACGACCGCAAGCGGACAGCCGCGCGGCGTCTACAGTCACATGGAGCCAGGCCTGGGTGCAGGGCGAGGGCCTAAACAACAGCTGGCAAGCGTGGAAGAGGACAGAGCAGGGGGAGAACGAGCGCGGGCGACGGCCGGGCGAGAAGAGGGCAGGCGCCGAACGCAGCGCAGCTCAGTAGCGAGAGGTCCCAGGCATGCGACGTCCTGACTTTTTCCATACGGGGTCCCTGGAAGTCCCGACCCTTTCCCCAGGACCAGTTCTTCGTCCTGAGCCGTTTTTGACGGTCCCGTGGCCCGGTGAGGGCCCCCGGAGGCCGAAAATTATGAAAAACCTCCCGTCATGAATTTTTTAACGTCCTGAATTTTTTACGTCGCGCTCATGTCTGGGAGCGCGGTTGAGATTGGCTTCGCACCTGATCCAGCGGGTCCTACGTGGCACGTGCGCAGCGCGCCCCATGCAGCATGCAAACACAAGGATACAAAAGGCGCCCCTCCATCCTGGGCCCTGTCAGGTCGCTCAAGACCCAGACATGATCGCGTGGTTAAAAAACATCAGAACGGCAGGTTTTTGCCAGCTCTCGGCCTCGGGGGGCCCTCGCCGGACCTCGGAACCGTCGAAGAACGACTCCGGACGAGAAACCGGTCCCAGGGGAAGGGGTCGGGGCTTCCAGGGACCCCGTCTTGAAAAAAAACAGGACGTCGCACGTCTGGGTCATGGACATGCCATCCCCCTGTCCGGCCTTGGCGGCCAATGCCCGCCCCACTGGAGCCGAGCGCAAGCTTCGGGAGCACGGGGCAAGCGCGCGGTCGACGGACGCGCGGGCGCGCCGCGCGGCCTTCCGCCGACGCGGGCGGCGCGGCACGGAGTCCATGACGGCGGCGGCGCGGCGTCGGCTCTCTCTCTGCGTGTCCCGCGCCGCCCAGCGTCAGCGACGGATGCGCGGCAGCTCAGAGGAGTGGCAGCGCCAGGCCGCAGGCCAGCGCGGGCTGCTGCGTGCAACGCGGAGACCGCAGCGACAAAGACGGGATCCCGCCTGGGGGTGCCGCGCGCGGTCGACTGGGTGCCGGAATCGCGGTGTCCGGCGGCGCTGGTGCTGGAATCGCAGTGTCTGCGATTGTGGCGGCGCGGCGCTGGCTCTGTCAGCGACAGATGCGCGGCGGCTGAGAGGAGCGGCACCACCAGGCCGCAGACTGCGCGAGCTCATGCATGCAACACGGAGGTCGCATGCGTTTCCCACCTCTTCCTTTCTCTCAGGTGGGAAACGCAGCGACGCGCAAAAGGCTCAGCCGTTTATGGATGATTCGGTCTGGATTTTAGCGCGTGCTGTGGTCCACTTGAGTGGTGCAAGACTGGTTCGCCATTTGGCCATCTTTGCTGCGCCCACCTCAGCCCCACCTGCGTGGGTTCGAGGGGGGCCCGGGGTTCGGAAGCATTGCTTCCCACCTTGCTTAAGCTGACCTCCGATAATGCTTGTTTGGCTCCGTGCGCGGGCCTGGAGCTCCAGACCCCATCCCCGGGCACTGCTCTTTCGCCGAGGGTCGTGCCTTGAGATCGCCCAGCGGGGCCTGAAGAGGGCCCCAGAAACCCAGAGCCAGAAGGGCCCGCCAGCGTGCTTTTGCGAGTGCGCTGCAAGTCTAGGCTTAGGTCTGGCATGTCCTCCGACAGGCGGATGCTTGAAGAAACGTAAGCAATTCCAACAATATGCAAGTACAGCCAAACATGACATTGCCAAAACAAACAACCGTCCCCAGACTATTGCTTGACTATTGTTTAAGATTCCTCCTCCTGAGGGACATGCCCGAGTGAAGTCTAGGTTCCCCCCCCCCCCCCCGCCGCCGCCCTCCGCGCCGCCGCCCTCCGCCCTCCGCCGCCAGAGGGCCTCCACGGGGGGCCGCCGAAGGGGAGCCGCCGCAGGGGGGGGGGCCAGCGAGGGCGGCGGCGACGACGACGAGCGGCGGGGCCGCCGCCGCTGCAGTGGGCCCCCGACGGCCGCCGAAGGGGCTGCCGCCGAAGGCAGCGGCCGCGAGACCGCGCGGCCAAGGGCCGCCCGCGGACCCTCCTCCGCCTCCTCCTCCTCCTCCTCCTCCTCCTCCTCCTCCTCCTTCGCCTCCTCCTCCTCCTCCTCCTCCTCCTCCTCCTCCTCCTCCTCCTCCTCCTCCTCCTCCTCCTCCTCCTCCTCCTCCTTAACCGTTTTGGCTCAAGATTTTGCTGTGGGCGGGCTGAACCCGCTTTGGCAATCATGGATACCGCTAATCCGCGGCAGGGCCAGGGTCCTTGCGCCCCCGACATTCATTCACCTGGTCTGCCCCAGGTTGGAACCCATCCTCCAGCGAGGTCGGGTCGGTGAGCTCTGTTATGAATTTCCCATGGGCGGGAAAAAAGAATCAGGACAAGATCAATGTGCGGGGCCTCACCTGGGGCCAGAGCTGCCAGCACTGGGTTTGGAACTGGCGCCTCAAGCGCCAGAGCGGCAAGTGCGGCGTCTGCGGCGAGATCTGTTTCTTCCCTGACCCGAACTGGAACGCCTGGAACACCGCTGGCGGAGACAACTACGGTGGTGGTGGCGGCGGCAACCAGAAAGGAGGCAAGCGCGGCGGTCAAGGAGGTGGGCAGCAAGGTGATTCCCCCCAAGACCTTCTCCAGAAGTGCCTGGCCGCCGCTTGTCTCACCAACGACCCCACGGCGCTCGGCCTGGTCAACAAGGCGCAGGCCCAGGCGCTTGCTATTGCGCCTGAGGCCCCGCCAAAGTGCCCCTACGTGCTCAAGAGGGAGGCTGCTGCGAAGTGCGCCCAGAAGCAGAACGCCCTTGACCAGGCCACGGAGAAGCTGGTCCAGGCGGAGGAGCGCCTCCAGGAGGCGAAGGAGCGCCGGCTGCTCGCGGCGGCGGCGCTCTACGATGCGGACCAGGAGCGCATCCTCGCTCAGGAGGCCGTCGATGCCAAGGAGGCGCCGCTTTCGCCTGCCTCGGAGCCCTTCGGCGTCGACGCCGACCTCTTCCAGCACATTGATGAGTTTGAGGAGGAGGAGCAGGTGCAGCTGCGCGAGTTTCAAACGCAGCTCGCGGCTGTCAGAGAGGAGGCCAGGCGTCGTGAGAAGCAGTTCCAGGACCTCCTCACGCAGGCTCGCAAGGCCCTGTCGGCGCCCAAGAAGAAGCGCAAGGGCCCTGAGGGCGAGGCCCAGGGGGTCGCTGAGGAGGCCCCGCCAGGCCCCGCCGATGGCACCGCCCAGCCGTCTGCGGGAGCGCCGCCCTCCGTCGCCAAGGGAGCAGGCAAGGGCCCCAACGTCGAGCGGATCTCCGCCGAGGCCAAGGGGCGGCGGGCGGCGGCCATCGCCCACCTGGCCGAGGGTGCCCACGCGGCCAAGACCATGGCGGCGGCCGCGGGCTCTGCCGCTCCCCAGCCTGCTCCAGCGGCTGCTGCTGCTGGCCGCTCTTGCTTTTAATCAGGCGAGCGGCGGCGCCCCGCCGCCCGCCGCGCTGGCGCCGCCGACGCCGCCGCGTACCTCTACGAGCATCGTCATTGCGAACATTACCGGGCGGGGCCCGACTGCCCAGGGGTACATCACGGAACATCACTTCAAGACCTCGGTCGTCGGCCTGGCCGAGACCCACGAAAGCGCCTCCGACTTGGACAAGATCGTGGTGGACTTGCACAAGGATGGGCGGCTGCTTCACGCCACCGCAGCGCGGCCCTCGGGACGCTCTGAAGCTGGAC